CATAGGAGGAGTTTCAATAAATTCTTCACTTCTGCTTGAGAAGGGAAAATATTCTTTATTAAAGGGTATAGCATTTGATACATATTTATGAAATCTAATTTATCATTGATATTGGTTAAGTCTTCTCTATCCATATTTACTTTTTGCCTGACTTCTCTTGACTTCTCTTGTCCTGAAAGTAATGTGTAAAACTATCTTACCATTATTGTTTCTATTTATCCTAGCATTGCTGTAATTTTTATTTTACATATAGATGGATTTTGTATAATCTTTTACATAGATATTATTTAATTACATAGATATTATTTAATAAATAATTTATTTTATTATAGATCGTTGGTTTTTGCATTATAATGCTACTATTTTTCTTGTTTAATGCTCTGTGTTCTAAATTCTGCATTGGGTGATATTAGAGTAGCTACTTCTGCTTTAGAGTTATTCCTATTTAGCTAGCATAATTTTTCCCATCTTATCTTTTACATTCTCTTCTTCATTAAAATTAATTTGGATCACTTTGTTTTCAATGTTTTTCTATGTATTTTTATGTGTTTCTTTCTTTATATGTCTTCCTTGCTCTTTTTAAAAGATTTCCCTTGAGATTTAAAAAAAAATGTACATTTTTGTTCTAGTAGTTACCTTTTAAAATACCTTTATTCATCTTTTTTCTTACTTAACCTTTTACTATGTGGATTGTTCATTCTAAATGGCATAATTTGACACCTGCCTGTTTTCTATGCAACAATGATCTTATTCTACTTTCCTCTTTCTGTCTTTATTCTCAGCTCAAATTTTAAGTTGTATTCTTTCTACCTTGTTAGAATATACAACACTTATAAATTATTTTCTATCCTTGTCCCTGATTCTTATTTAAATCTTAGATCTACAGTAAATATACCACATGCTCACCATCATTATTTTGCCAGTGTTTCCCTGTAGCAGATTACCCAAGAAGGGTTCATGTGTACAAAGTTCTCTCACTCCTTGAATATATCATTTGCTTTTCTATAGTCTTAATAACTGAATGATGGTTTTGCTGCAATAAAGGCAATGGCTCACAGTTCATTTTCTTTTCTGTGATTACTTGAAAATAGTGTTCCACTCTTGCCTTGCTTTGCAGGTTTTTCTTGAATATTGTGAAGCTTATATAATTTTCATACCTTTCTAGGTATTATGCTTGTTGTGTGTGGAGGCCATGAGTATTTTTTTTCTCTTTAATAGTCTAATAGTTGTATAGGCTATGTCTCAGAATTAATCATTCTCAGTCAATTTTTCCAGGCACATTGACTCTTCCATAAATTTAGGTTTTCTCTTATTTATATAAAGAGTGCTTGTATTTCATTTAAAAAAATTAGCTCTATTCCATGGTGCCTTTCACCTGTTAGAAACATCAATTTCTTGAATATGTATGAAGGAATAGGATGTAGTAGAACAGTGGAGATGGCTTTTAAATAGGAATATGGATAGTTCATTTACCATAATGGGCAGTAAACCAGAGTGTGGGTATGGATGCTTATGGAGTAGGGGAGACATGGAGGTGGATGTCTAAGGAAGGGCTCTTCTAATTGCTGTGGTTTCCTTAATGGTAAGGAAGCATGTGCTAAGCTAACTCTCCTATCTCCCACCTAAGAAACAGGATGGAGATTAGTGCATTTGCCAAATTTAGATTCATGGCCTGAACATGAATCACATATCAAAATTCATGAATGATGTTCTAGAAGGAGCTCAGAGGGCCATCAGTTCCTGATCCTTTTACTTAGTAGAAAACCCAGAGCTACTTCCTCCTGAAAACAGCATTAATGGGGATCATCAACTGTGGAAGAGATCAGTCTCAAGGATAACCTCGGAGGAATCTCAAGGACTGTCCTGTGGGAGGTGGTGGAGGCCTGCTTTGTATTGCTTTAGGAGTGGTGAGAGAAAGACACAGGCACATGAATTTTGAGTGAGCATAAATGTTAGAGGCCTGCAAAAGGCTGTTGTGTGAAGTAGTGAAGTCTCTCTTCCAGGGAGTCTTCATTCTTCATTAAGTGGCTGGATATCATGATGTCAGGGATGTTAGGTAGGAGATACCTGGGTCAACAGGAATTACTAGATGGTCTCTGTGCCAATGCCAAGTTGACCATTCACCTTCTCTCACTATCCAAGCTTACTCTGTCAACAAATCTTGTCCATTCTACCTTCGACATATATTCAGAACCCAAGCCTTTCTAACTTCCTCTACCTCAATCACCCTGGATCAATAAGCAATTTTCTCTCTCCTGAATTACTTTAATAGCCTTTTAGATGACTTTTCTGCTCCTTCTTGGCCCCACTCCCCTATCGCAATCTCTTCAATAGCAGTCAGATGGATCCTGTTGAATTATAAGTTAGATAGTATCACTCTGCATCAAGCTCCACATTGATGCCCCATCTCACTTAGAGTAAACGCCAAAGTCCTAATCACAGTCTACATGGCCCATGTGACCTGCTCCCTCTCCTGCCCATCTCCAACTTCATCCTCAATTGCATTCCTTGCCACCTGCAGTCCTGCTCACAGGCTCCTGGCTTTCCCACACACCTGCCAGGAGCGTGGCCTCATCTCTTAAAGGGTGCTGGCAATTTCCATTCCAGGAATGCCTCAGGTATTTGGAGAGATCGCCTTTTTTTAACCTTCTCTTCAGATATCATTACCTATTCAAAGAGGTCCTACCTGTCCACCTTTATCAAAAAACATTCCCATCCTTTTACCTTCCTGAATTTTTCACAATGGCACTTATTACCCACGTATTATATATGACGTTACTTGTTCATAAGGTGTTACTGCCTTGCCTGACAGTAATTTTGTCTGTTTTTTCATTGCTGTATACCCAGTGTCTAGAAGGGGCCTAGCACAGAATCCGTGCTTAAGAAATATTTGTTACATGAATGAATAAGTGAGTAGGTGTGATTGTGTTTTTATAGGGATACGGGACAATGTGACAATAAGCCAGGGCTTCATTCCTTCCTTCTGGAAGGAGGAGAAGGACTTGATAGGGCCTTACCATTTTACTGTGTTCTGTTCCGGGTAAGAGGAAGTAAACATGTGGCAGCCTCTCTCTCCCACTGACGACACAACCTCGATAGAGTGCATGGTGCAGCTATTTGAATAATCTGAACAGTAAATACCAGCAAGTGGATGGCTGAAAACAGCCAGGATTCCAAGTACCACAAAACTGCTGGTGAGTTGTGCACACTTTTTCCTCTGGAATCTCTAGAGCAGAACTCAGCATGGCCTGAAACCCAGGAGTGAGCAGCATGGTGCAGACAGAGAGATGCAGAAGAAAACCTCTGGTTCTGGCTCAAGCAGTGGATAAGGAGACTCCTAAAACTCAGAGCCTGGGGGGACCCCTGATGGTTTTCTTTACTTTCTCTCCATTCTCATGTTCCAGCCACCAGAGAATGCAAGAGAGGAGTAGCCGTGGCAGTAAATGTGGCATCAACAACAACAACAACAAAGCAGAGATTAGGACTCTGAGGAAGGGAAACCTATATTCTGGCCTCAGGGTGCTCTTTCTTCCTGGCTGGGGGTCATATGCCACCTGTGGGCACCTCAGGACTCCTGATAACCTCCCTCTTACCTGTTGCCTTTTTAGCCCAGGATCAGTAGGTATGGGGGTGCACATGCTCTTGAGGACACAGCAGCTGTCACATCAGGGAGCCTGGCTCCAGACCCCTCTGTAAATATCCCATGGCTGGGCCCTGCCCATCACCCCACCCAGGCCTCCTCAAATGAGGAGTTAAAGCCGGCCCAAGGGGCCAAAGTGCAGAGGGTAGGGATAATGAGCCACTGGCCTTCTAAAACCTGTCATGGTCCCTGAGTCAGCCATGACACAGGCAGGGGAGGAGGGTGGGGCTGGGACAAAGCTGGATCTCAAGGGAGTTAGGTTTGCTCAGCCTAGGAGAGGGGAGCGGAGGAGATGATCTAAGATGTGGCTTTACCAAATGTTTCAAGGACACGATGGACCAAGGAATGGCACCTGTGATGAAAGATTGAACCCAGGAGGTGGGGCTCCTGCTAATCTCAGTTGACTATTCTAAGGCTCTACAAAAAGGAAGGTTCTTAGCAATGTAGATGGGGCTTTATGGGTAGGAAAGGGAGAAACTGGTGTTTCTTTACACAGCTTCTGTGAAGCACCTCACTAAGCCCATGACACAAAGACTCATGTTTTAGATGAACAAGCTAAGATATAAAAAGGTTAAACAAGAGACATCCAAGGTCACAGTCCTAGTAAGGGACAGGGCTGAGTAAGCCTTTAGTAAATATATTCTCCTACCCCAGTATGAAACCCAGAAAAGTCCTTCATGTCCCAAGTCATGGATCCTAACACATGGGCCATGAACTTTAGAAGACAGAGCCCAGCAGCAATGTGAGGGAGATGTAGAAATCAAAACAACTCACATTTAGTAACTTGCTGAATGCTAGACACTCTTCCCCGTGTTGTAAGAAATGAAACAACATAGGCCCATGACTTTGAGGTCTTTACAAGCCTCCCTGAAGAATTAACTTCTCGAGCTGACAGACAGGCATGTTTTCACAAATTTACCAGGTATGTGTGACTCTGAGGAACACACCGCCTGGGCAAGGATGGATTGGCCAGAAAATCGCTCAGTCCAAGGTGGTTCTTAGAGCCAGAAGAATTCACGGGTGCTCTTAGTGGTTCTCAGACCTGCTTGTCTCATTTATTAAAGCTCAACTAATGCCTTGAAGAGGAAGAAATTAGCTTTCCGTCCAGTTAAGAATGACTATTCTTCAGTCTTAACTTCATGGCACAGTAGCTCATGCCTGTAATCCCAGCACTTTGGGAGGACAAGGTGGGAGGATCATGAGGTCAGGAGTTCGAGACCAGCCTGGCCAATATGGTGAAACCTCGTCTCTACTAAAAATACAAAAATTAGCCAGGCTTGGTGGCACGTGCCTGTTGTCCCAGCTATTCAGGAGACTGAGGCAGAAGAATCGCCTGAACCTGGAGTTGGAGGTTGCAGTGGACGGAGATTGCACCACTGTAGTCCAAACTGGGCAACAAAGTGAGACTCCTTCTTAAAAAAAAAAAAAAAGAGTGACTGTTTTTTCTGAGAACCAAGGAGGCCTGGGGGAGCAAACTCCTTTGGAGTTTGGGGATGTGGTTGTGTGAGCTTGTAGGGGAGGGCAAACAGTGTGAGCTATAGGGTGGTGGCCTGGGGAGAACAAGAAGGTCCTTCAGCAGCCTAGATAGGGGGAAGCTGTTCGTCTCTTCGTGAGTGAGGGAAGTGGGGTTTTATTCTATGACCTTGGTTCCTTAATTTGTAAAATGGCGTTGGAGAAAGATCTAGCTCAGGGGGTTGTATATTTATAAACTGTGAAGTGCTAAAGTAATTAAATGCATAACACATAGACTTGGAGAAATGGAAGTGCTAACGGCCTCCATTATATTAATTATATGCATCACTGAGCACATTGTAATCAATGGCAGCATATTAATGATAACATTGGGCATATTGGGTTCTAGAATCACTGAACTGGCACAGCAAGTATTTCAGAGGCCATCCAGCCTGGTCTTCCTTATCTGATGTTAGAATTCTCTGTAAGATATTTGTGCTGAGAAGTACCAATATTTTCCTCAGTAATACTGGGCATGTTGAATGTCAGAGTTCAGCCAGGGCCTTGGGAAAGTGGGTAATCCTGCCTGTCTCCCATGAGGCTTCCCTTGGTTGACCAGAACCACTCTTGCCCTCCTAGATCCCTGAGCACAGACAGGTTTGGCATCCAGAGTGGGCTGTGGTCATCATCTGAATGGAAAAACCAGCTATGAGTCAGGGCTTAGACTGGAGAAAATTTCTAAGGAAGTGGAGCCAGCTGCTTACTTCCCCCAGGCCCAGCAGGAAATTGAGCCTCACTGTCCCAAATGTCAACTAAAAGGCATCCAAGAGCCCTTGATATAACTTCAGACATAAACAACATAAGCATAGGGTCCCACTTCCCTGGGAGTCACCTCCCCACCCACATGAAGATGGCACTGCTGCCACAGTCATCTGTGACCCAAGAGTCATCCTTTCCACTATTCTTGGCACAATCACCAAGAAACCACACCAGGGAAGAATACTACCCCATAGCTCTCCCCAGCCTTGCCCAGTGTGCCAGTGGTGAAGAAGCCATTCCTTAGTGTTCTAGAACTTCCTCTGCAAAACATAATCATGCATAAGAAGATGGTCCCCACTCCCAGCACATCACAGCTCTGCTCCAGGGAACCTGCAGGGTGACAGGAGGCCATCGATCCTCTAGGAGAGATGGGAGTCCCTCCCTTTTATTCTCATCCTCCTTCTGTCTCAGATACAGTCCATCTGGTTGGGGTAGAAAGTAACAATAAACTCTTGTCTTAATCCTTTTCACCCCCAAGCACAACTTCAAGCAGTAAGAAATACAATATAAAACCTTCATTCAAGAACCCTGTTCTCCCCATCCTGATGCAGGGGTGGCTCTGTTGGAACAAGAGTGGCTGGCCAGGCCTTTTGAACCACGGGAGAAGATGTTCTGGGGTCAACTTCAAGACAGGACTGGCAGTACTGGGACATTTGGCTGAGAATCGGGGGCCTGCCCAGGTAAAGAGCTTCCCTGCTATGGATGTAAATGGAGGGGAACAGCTGAGCTGCAGGAAGGGAAGGAAAGGAAAGCGAGGAGCAAGGAGGATGGGGGCACACTTTCTCCTCATATTGGGATTCCAGCTCACATCCCAGTCCTTCCCCATGAGCAGTCATGAGAACCTCACCCCGAGAAAGGAGGCCACAATGGGGCTTGTCTCTAGGTGCCCTAGCTCTCCCCGCCACTGAGGTTGGCAACTAGACACCTTGGGTGGTGGACGGGCAGAAACAAAGGCCCCATGTCCTATGAGCAGATCCCTCTACAGGTACCTGGGGCTCAGATGGTATAAGACAGGCGGGAGGGAGCTTAGGTAGGGTCAGGTGGTTGCTCCCCAGAATTGGAAAAGGTGACTTTTCTGCATGCATTTCTTTGGATGGGTGAGGTTGTCTCCTGCCCTGTGTTCTTGCTTGACCAATAATCACAGGCTTTGATTCTTATGAAAGAACAAGAAAGTCAGGAGACATCTGGAAGAAAGGCAGCAGCAGGAAGAGCAACACTGATGCAATACAGTGTCAGGTACAGCACGGCTTACTGTCCCCAACTAGGCAGCAAGATCAATCAGCCTCCCACACAGAAACCAGCAGAATGGGGCATTGTGATTTTGATCTTTTTTTTTTTTTTTATTGTATTAAGAACACTTAACTTGAGATCTGCTCTCTTAACAAGTTTTTGAATGTACAATAAAGTATTGTTAACTATAACAATGTACAACAACATGGTACAGCAGATTTCTAGAATGTATTCACCTTGCATAACTGAAACTGTGTACCTATTGAATAGCAACTCTCCATCTCCCCCTCCTCCCAGTCCCTGGCAACCACCATTCCACTCTCTGCTTCTGTGAGTTGGACTATTTTAGATACTTCATATAAGTGGAATCCAGCAATCCCACTCCTGGGTATTCATCCAAAGGAATTAAAATCAGGATCTCAAACATGCACTTCCATGTTGATTGCACTAGCCACAACAGCCAAGATGTGGAGGCGACCTGGGTGTTCATTAACGAAGAAGCGGTTAAAGAAAAGTGGAATATACATGCAACGGAGTAGAATTCAGCCTTAGCAGAGAAGGAAATCCCACCATATGCAACAACATGGGGGTTGGTGAAGGCTTTCACTAGAGATAGGGGTGGAGAAGGAAGCTTCCTAGGGTAGTTCAAGGAGGTAGAAAGCAACATCGCAGTTTGGCCACGTCTCCTTCCTGTAGGAAATACAAAATTCAAAGAGACACAAAGAGAAGAGAGAAAGAAAATATGGCAAACATTCTAATGCCATCTTTGCTGACTGGACCTGTAACCTGTGCTGGATGCTCTACTGACATTTCTCATTTCACCCTCAGAATAACCTCTGAAGAGGTCATTGTAGTTCCCATTTTACAGACAAGGTCTCTGGGCTGGTAGGGCCTGGGTCGGATGGTTATTCATGAGCTGATAAGGAGAATCTCAGGCCACCACAGTGGGTGCTCTCAGGACCATTCTAAGGCTTTCTGGCTAAGAGTCCAGGGGAGCATCACCTGGGGCTAGGGAAGAGCTTTTGGAACCAGGAGCTCCAAAGGCTGGGATTGCCCAAGAGGACAAGGGGGAGGTGTGTGTTGGGCACCTGGCAGTGGGGTGATTCCAGAGGCATGCACCCTGGCTTGCCAAATGTCTCGGAGGGCCTGGGCTCCACAGGCCCTCTGCTATGGAGAGCTTTTCTCAACCCTTTCCACCTACTCCATGATTCTAGGAATCTTCTTCTGTGGAAGCAGGGCTTTGGGAATCTGCTGGGCTGAGGAGGTAGTCCCCATCCAGCCCCATGCCACTAGCGACAGCTCCAGAGTTTTGCTCTCACCAACACCCCCAGGCTTCTGCTTTGTAAAGACGTCATATTTACCTTCTTGCCCCTCCTACTGTAGGAACCACACTCACACATGCACACAGGAAGGCTTTGCGCAGCATTGAAATTGATCAAGCCTGAGTACCATAGAACAAGGGGCCTATCTGCTAGAGTTTGGTTATACCTTGACCTCAGATATCTGCCATTCAGAATGGAATGCCCAGCTCTGGCCAGGCACTGGATCAAAACAACCATAAGCTTAGGCATCTGCTTCTCCCTCTTTCTCCACCTCCATGTCAAGGGCATCCCCTCACTACAAACTGGGCCTGGGGTGGGAGTATAAGGCCGAGGGCAGGGAACTGGGAAGCCCCTTCCACCCCATCTGATTTCAGAACTGCCTCCTCAATGCCCCATGTCTGAGCCAGCTATATTTAGCAAGCTCAATTCAGTAACTAGAGCAACTGGTCTAGCGCCCTCCCCTTCCAAGGACTCTGAAGGGACCAGTTTCTCACACCTTTTAATCGTCTTCCATTTCTCCAGGCAACCAACACAAAAGGCCTGGACCAGGTGGTAGAGATGCTGGGGCTCCCACACAGAGGCTCTATTTTCTGTTTTGCATTCTTCCAGGCCGGGTAATTATGGATCTGTCCTCAGAGGAATTCTGTTTCTTAGCATCTACTGCTAGAAAGCCCATTTATGTCAGCCTGGCCTCACCACATCTATCAGTGTCACACTGCAGAGGACTGTATCACTGACGTGGCGTCTGCCTGTGGTCTAATGTGAATGCATTCCCATGCACACGCCAGCGTGCAGTGTGTGTGCACGTGAGTGGGTGTGCATATTGGTTTGTGAATAGAGCACTCCTTGATCAATTAGTCTTTACTGCATGCCCAGTTTGTGCCAAGCCAAGGTGTTATAGATGAAAGTGCACAGTAGTGAAGAGGAGGGGCAGAATCACTGCACACGTGCAGTTTTCGTTGTGGTGGAATCAGTAAACCAACAGATAAGATCATTTGAGGTAGTGAGGAATGCTGATGGAATTACAGCAGATCGATGCCTAGTAAATGGAGGGTGGGTGAGGGTGGGGGTGGCCACGGTGGCTACTTTAGATGGGGTTGTCAGGCAAGGCCCAACTGAGGAGACAGGATAAGCTGGAGGTGGAGCCTTCCCGGCAGAGGAAAGAGCAAAGTCAGAAGCCTTGTGGGGGATGGGCTTGGTGTGTTTGTAGCTGGAGAGAAGAGGGTGGGGGTGGGGAAAGATTGGCAGGAGCTGAGGTCAGAAACAGAGATGTCTGCAGGGTTCGGGGAGTCAGAACTCAATTCCCTCCTGTGTCACTTACTAGCTGTGTGACTTTGAGGGAGTTACCGAACCTCTCTGGGCCTCTGAGGGGTAATGACCGTACTTCCTTTAGAGAGCATTATGGCAATGACGAAATGGGTTCACATATGTAAGGGGCTTAGAACAATAGCTGGCATATACATCAGCTGTGTTTTTTTAAAAACAAACAAACACTATTTTTTAAAATAAGGCTATTGTGATCAGCCTTATTGTTATTACAAGAAAGGAGCTTAAATTTGAAGAAGAGTCCATTTGTCTGTTGGAACAAGTTCTGGAAATTATCAGAGACCTGAATTTTACTCCCTGGTGTGTCTTCAAGTCCCTAGGTGTCCAGTTCCTTTAAGGCATTACCAAGACTAGTCCTGTGAGACCCTAATTTAGTGTCCAGCACAGGAGTTGTCTCCTAAGGGTGGGGGTCTTAATTAGTGGGTGGGGTCCTTACCCAAAAAGAGTGAGTTCCAAACTCCTCCAGAAAAGCAGCCTAGGAAGCTAAAGTTCAAATGACTCATCTGTTCACTTCCAGCAGGGAAAGGTGAGTGAAGCGGGGACAGGGAGGGAGACATGAGGCTGGAAGAGACAGGACAGCGTGACTGTGCTGCCCAGAGCCTTTTCTCTTGGCTTCGGCCTCGTACAACTGTGGGGACGGCTGGTGAGGATGAAGGCTGGAGGGCACAGGGTCTAGTAGGTGCTGGTTTGGGGCAGCTTCTGCCTCATTTTTTTCATCAGTCATCAATGAAGAAGTCAGTTGAGATAACTGATAAGATCTTTCTTAGTTAACTCCACTCAAAACATCCACTGGAGGCTGGGCTGGTTAGTGAGTTAGGGGATAAAAGGAAAAATTTGGAGATGAAGACCTTTTGAGCACAACACACCTTGCATTTTTGGATTGTGGTAGCCTTGGGAATAAAGTGTTTGGTTTCCCCTTTGCAAGCTGGAGGTGCAGAAGAAGATGGTATCTGTGGTCCTCCAAGCTAGATTGCCATCAGACCCCTGAGTGTGTAGCCAGCAGGCTTGGCGAGGATTTCCATCTGACATCCCTGCCCCTCTCCCGAACTACACGGAGAGGGGCACTGACAAGTTCTGCATATTTACAAGCACACATCCATACCCTACAAGGCATGGGCTTCTGAAAATTTACAGAGAAATCACATTTTTGTAAATCAAATTCCATTTTCAATGCACTTTGGTTTCTTATTACTGAAAGAATCCCTGTTGCAAATCCTTTTGTGAAGCAAATCTCTCTTCCCCCATAAATATCTCCTTCATATTTAGGCTCTGTTTTTAAATTATTTATTTGAGACAGAGTCTTGCTCTGTCACCCAGGCTGGAGTGCAGTGGTGCGATCTCAGCTCATTACAACCTCCACCTCCTGGGTTCAAGCGATTCTCCTGCCTCAGTCCCCCGAGTAAATGGGACTCTAGGTGTGCACCACCACCCCCAGCTAATTTTTGTATTTTTAGTAGAGACAGGGTTTCACCATGTTGGCTAAGATGGTCTCAATCTCTTGACCTCGTGATTCACCCACCTCGGCCTCTCAAAGTGCTGGGATGACAGGCGTGAGCCACCGCGCCCAGCCTACTTCGGCTCTTAAAGTATGGGAGCCCCTATCTGTTCAAGTGGGTGTGTGTGTGTGTGAGAGGGCTTGTGTGTCAGTGTGTACGTGTGTAAATGTGAGAGTGTGTGTATGTGTGTGAGTGTATGGTCAGTGTGAGAGTGTGAATTGTGTGAGGGAGAATGAGAGTGTGTTAGTGTGCATGTATGTGTGGGAGTGTGTATCTGTGTGTGTGTGTGTGTCAGTGTGTATATATGTGTGTCAGCATGTGTCAGTGCATATGCATATGTGTGTCCGTGTGTGTATGTGTGCCTGTGTGGGTGTCAGTGTGTACATCTGAGTGTGAGAGGGTGTGTGAGGAAGACTGTGTCAGCGTGTGTGTGTTGTCAGTATGTGTATATCAGTGTGTGTGTATGTGTTAGGCTATGTGAATGTGAGCATGTGTTAGTGCATATTCGTGTGTCAGTGTGTCACTGTATGTGTGTATGTGTGTCAGTGCACGTGTGTCAGTGTGCATGTGTTTGTGTTAGTGTATCCGTGTAACTGAATGTGTGTGTGTCAGTGCATATGTATGTGTGTGTCAGTGTACGAGTTTGTCAGTGTGTGTCAGTGTGTGTCAGTGTACATGTGTGTCAGTGTATATGTGGGTGTGCATCTGTGTGTGTGTCTGAGAGTGTGTCAGTGCATATGTCAGTGTGCATGTGTACGCAAGAGCAATTGTGTGTCAGTGTGTGTCGGTGTGCATGAGTATGTGTCAGTCCACATGTATGTATAAGTGTGTCAGTGTGCATGTGTGAGTGTGTTGGTGTGTATGCAAGAGTGTGTATGTGTGTCAGTGTGCATGTGTGTTGAGTGTGTCTGTGCGTGTGTGTGGGTCAGTGTGGGTGTGAGAGTGGGTATGTGTGTCAGTGTGTACATGTGAGTGTGAGAGTGTCTGCATTTGCATTCACTCTGGCACATGAAAGGGTTTTTGAATGTTCGACATTTTTCTCCTCTCCCTGCCTTGCTGTGATATGCTGCTGGAGAGAGACACTGTCAAAGCCCGGGGCTGACCCGGTGTGGTTCAGCCCTCCATCTGGGCACGCCATCCTTCGTTCCTGGCCTCTGACTGCTGCTCCTTGTGGGGGTTGTCCCGGGGGCCACGTTAGCAGCAGGCACAGAGGAAACAGAATCATTTCAGGAAAATGGAAATTGTGCCTGCCTCTTGGATTGGGCCAGGGAAGGGGAGGCAGATGTGAGAGTGTAGAAGGGGCTGACTGGGGATTCTTCCGGAATTCATTCATGAGATTACATTCTACAATCAATTATTCATCAGAGAAGATCCAGGGAACCACTGTTGTTTGCTTTCTGCCTGTCTGAAGGATGAGGACTGTCTCCTTAACAGTTGTCGATTTAACTGCTGGGGAGAGCGGCTTGACTTCCCCTGGAAAATGTGTGGCATCTCCCTCGGCACTGACACTTGTCTCACTGCCCACCCACACCACTGAGCTCTGCGTGGGGAAGGGTCCTCATCAGTCTCCAGCCTTCTGCAGGCTGGTGCAGGGGCCAGCCAAAGAGCCTCTGGAAAGACTCCTTCATCACTTATTAATGGTCCCCGGTGTTGTCCCTGAAATAATTAGTGTCAGGATATTTTCCTGTCACGCAGTTAATTGCCATCTGTACTGCTTAACATGCCAGGGCACTGGGTAGCAATCTGGGGGCCCGTGGAGGGCTGTGGGGATGGGGCCTGAGTCATGGTGTTGGCTACCACAGCCGGGTTGGGAGCGGGAGACAGGGAGCTTTCAGTGGGGTTTGGGAGGGGCCGGGGGCTCTGGGCAGCTTCATCCTTCAGTTCGCAGTCAGAGTGTTAAGAACCAGCTGCTGCCCTGGGAGGAGGAGAGGGAGGGAGCTGAGGTCCTGGAAGAAAGCAAGGTTCTCACCACAACAGACACCCACAGGATGCTTAGGAACCAGACTGTCTCAGGAACATCCGGATTCAGGATCTGAAGCCCTGTGTACTAGCCCTCTGTCTGGTTCCCTAGAAGCAGGGTTTGAGAGGATATTCCAGCGTGTGGTTTGTTGAGTGAGTGCTTGCAGAGAAGCTGGGAGGGATTGTAGGGCATGATGGAGCAGCAGAAGGGTCCAGACAAAGATGCCACTTCAGGGGAGGTCTAGCTGGGCCAAACCCACAGGGGCTTCGGGGCGTGTACAGCACATGGAGTTTGTTCTACCTGAAGACAAGAGGGTGGTTTTTCTGTCGCTACAGCAGTCAGGCCTTAGCTAAAGGTTATTCCCGGGGGAGGGGCTACGGTAGAGGGCTTAACCTCCAAAGCATCTCCCAGGGAAGTGGCTCCTGCTGGCTAAGGCGATGTGGAGGAGAAGGGTATAGTTATGAGCTATTAGCAGCCAACACTGCAGCAGCCTGGAGTGAGTGCCCAGTTGGTAAAGGACATCTAGGTGGGGCACGAACAGCCTCTGATCCCCCTTCCTAGCTGCTCTGAGGCTCTGTTTCCTTCCACGTCAAAGGGGGTTCAACAGCCTTCCCTTGCTCTATTGCAATGCAGAAGGGTGACAAACTGAGAGGGTGGGGCAAGGATCTTGTAACTGTAGTGTGCTGTATAAACGCCAGCTAGTATCACTACACTTATTCCCATGCCGTTTAGTGGAAGAAATGCCCACATTTCACTTTACATGGAGCACAAACCACAGATGCTTGGCTGGATTTTTTAAGGCTCCTCTCCCCTGGCCTGGGCTCCTTCCATTAGACAAACGTGCCTTTGACATGGCATATTCTCTGGGATAACTTAGAAAGGACGTGGAGGGGATTAATTTTCAGTTATGGGTCATGAGAGCTAGAGTGAGACTCCTTTTTAGGTGCTCTTAGACTAGAGTGGGAAGACAGGTGAGGGGACGGCCTGAGGGCCAAGCACAGGGCACTGCTGGAGGGCCTCTTCCCATCCTCATCCATTTTGTAACTGCCCTCAACCCCCAGAGGGGACAATGAGTACCAAGGAAGGACCCCTCCCCAACCCTGCTGAGCTCCTTTCCTATCCCCCACCCCTTCCCCCAGCACATAGGAAAAAGGGGGGCTCCCACCAAAGGCAGCCCCTGTAGGTTGAGCAACGTTGATCCTGGCTGGCCAGGCCGCCCCTGAGAGGAGAGGAAATTGCTGGGGAGGCAGTGGAGGAGGTTGGAGGAGAGCTCTCCGCAGTGACAGGCCTGTAGGGAGGAGGGGAGGAAGGAGGCAGTGTCAGCAAGCCTCTGACTGGCCGAGGCTGAGAGTGCTGGACACAGCCACAGTGCCAGGTCAGAACCACTGACCTGCTGGGCTGACCTGCTGTTTATTAGGCCTTCAATAGGGGGAACACAGTGACACTGGAGTGCTGCTTTCTTCCTCAAGGAAAGGACTGTGGTGTTTGAGCCAGATCCTCGCCCCCACCCCCTCTGCCCTCCCCCCATGTTGAGCCCTGTGTCCCTGGGCTTCTTGTGCCTGGGTGTCTGAGGAAGACATTTTCCTACCTGCCCTTTTCTGGTGGGGAAGGGTTTCGGGTCCACCCCTAGGACACAGCGTACAGGCCTGGTCCTCTCTCAAACTGAGAACATCCAGAAAATGACTGGGCTTGGGCGAAAATGCATTTTGGTTGTCAGTGGCCAGAATGTGGGATTATTTCTGGGGAAACGACTAGGTTTTACTTTACAGGTCGCAAGCGCGCGCGTGTGTGTGTGCGCGCGCACACGCGCCCACACACACACCTGTCTGTTGAGGGCCAGGACACACTGTACCCTCATCCCAGGAATCAGACCCCTGCCCAGAGTAGAGGGCCCTGGACACTCAGCAAGGACACGTCTGATCCACGACATCTTTGACCTCACCGCTGTTAGCTCAGCATAAAGCAGGAAGGAGAAGTGGGCTTGGCAGAGCCTCTGCCTTCAGGGTCTGGAGTCTAGGTTTACTCACGGGAATCACGCAGGGGATCTGGTCTAAGGTGGTTTGGGTAAGGGAGACAGTGCAAAGCTCACCAAAATGGTCAAAGAAGGCTGCATGGAGGAGGTAAGGCTTGAAAGAAATGCAACGTTTGAATTCGGAGGGAAGAAGAGAGAGTGTGTGTAAGGAGAACGTTTGTGTCAGCTAAAGTGTGGAGGCAGGAGGAAGAGAGGGCAGCCTGGCTGGGAGAAAATCATTCCAGAATAAACGATGATGATGATGATGGTAATCATTATCATTATCAGAACTAATATTAATTGACCACCTACTGTGTGCCAGGCATCATTCTCAGAGCTTTACAGATTAGCTTATTTAATCCTTACAATTCCACGAGGTAGATACTATTATCATTTCCGATTTTACATGGTTTTTGTGTTGCTATAAAGGAATACCTGAGGCTGAGTAATTTATTTAAAAACAAAAAAAGTTTAATCTGGTCACAGTTCTGCAGGCTGCACAGGAAGCATGGCCCAGTATCTGCTCCTGGTGAGACCTCAGGAAACTTTTACTCTTGGTGGAAGATGAAGCAGGCACAGGTGTGTCACACAGCAAGAGAGGGAGCGAGAGAGAAGGGGGAGGTCCCACGTGCTTTTAAACAACCAGATCTCGCAAGCACTCAGAGCGAGTACTCACTCACTACCACAAGAAGGGCACCAGGCCATTCATGAGAGATCAGCTCCCATGACCCAAACACCTCCCACCAGGCCCCATCACCAACATTGGGGATCCCATTTCAACATGAGATATGGAGGGGACAAACATCCAAACCATATCATGGGAAGAAACTAAGGCCCAGAGTGGATCATTAATGGGCACAAGGTCACATAGCCAGTGAGTGGCCAAACCAGGATTTGAACCTGAACAGCCTGGCCCTGGGGCTTCTGCTGCTATCTGATAGACCTTTCTAGATAAGTTGGCACACACTGAGCCCTTATGATGTGTCAGGCACCATTCTGAGCCTTTTATTCATGGAGTCTTCATTATTAATTCCATTTTACAGATAAGAAAACTGAGACACAGAAAAGTCACACAAGATTATTGAGGTCAACACAGAGAACAGTGGAACCAGCACCGGACCCCAGGCAGGCAGAGCCTTCATGACCACACCACACGGCCACAAGGAGCGGGCAGGGAAGACAGTGGTAAGTGGAAGCCATGGACATTGTACTCAGGCCTGTGGACATGCTCCCAGGCATTGGGAACTCTGGCGGGTTTTGATCGCCAGCAGGGAGCAGGGGCATGGGGAGAAGGCACACAGCCAGGGCGGTTGCCAACAGCCACGAAGGAGCCGTCTGAGGCTGGGGTTGGGGTTGGGGTTGGGGGAGGGCTTGCCTCCTCTGTGGCTCCTGTGGCCTAGTTTCCTGGCGGCCGCCAGGTAGTGGGACCTGGCAAGCGGGTTATAAATATCCTGGACTGACAGCAAGGCCTTCACTCTTGACACTGATGCGGATTAAGCTGAATGTGCAGCTCAAGGTCATTGGCATGGCTATAGCTTTGCTTTGGGAGAGGTCTAGTTGAGACAATGCTAAGCAGGGGACAGCAGGGAGGCTGGGGACTGAGCCCCTAGGTCCAGCTCAGCACAGACAGTGGCTTTTCCTCTCGTGTGGCCTGAGTGCTTCACTTCTGCTCTTACCATGTCTCTCGCCCCAGCCTCCTCTGTCCTCCCCAAGCCTGTCCTCCGCGGGTTTTCCCAGCCCACTCAAGCCAGAAGTCAGTGGTGGGGGATGCGCTAAGCAGGGGGGCAGCCCTGGCCTCTCCTGCCTTCTGCTTCAGCCACCCCTCCTCCCTCAGCACCTATTTCTGCCCACGTTTCCAGAGGACAGTTGGACAGTGACTCTGGGTTGACTCAGCAAAGCTGTAGCTCCCTGAGGACTCTGTGTGTGTGTGTGTGTGTGTGTGTGTGTGTCCATGTGTGTGTGTGTGTGTGTGTGTGTGTGTGTGTGTCCATGTCCACTCTGCTTATAAAGAAAGATACTTAGAAATCCACAGCTGGACAAGACCCCCAGGTGTATGTACTCTGGGAATGTGGCTCACAGACATTCTGTGTTCACAGCTAGAGCACAGGCATCTGAGTCCCAAGCCAGCCTCCCGCGGAGCCAGCCTTTGGATTGGTTCCATCCCAAAAAAGCCCCAGGAAGGCCCGGGAGCTATGCTGGGGTTAGGAGGACCTAGCTAAGAGCTGAAGGAGCTGAGTGTGGGCTGGGGAATGGAGGGGGCCAGTCCTCCACCTGGCGAAGGGACAGAGGCTGCGTGGGGCGATGCAGCAGAGGCAGGAGTCAGCACCAGCCATAGGCTTGGGTGGGGCTACAGCAGGCCGGGACTGCGGGCCAGCTGGGGGCTGAGTGAGTTCTGGGCTGTGCTGGGTGTTGTCTGCCAGCACTTAGCATTGTTTCATACCCTTTATGTTCCCTCTGCATCACAGGGGCTAGCAGGACAAAAATGACAATTCCCAGAGTTTCTTGCTGTTTGGATCTGGCTGCAGTTTCGGTTTTGCCAACAAGCGGCATTTCCATGAGCTCTGGACAGTGGCAGAGAGGCAGAGGCGTTCCTCTGCAGTGTGTTGGACGGTCCGCGGGCTCCTGCCAACGTGAGGATTTGCAGCAACTGGTATATCCACGGTCTTGTCACCAGCTTCCTGAATGCAGGGCAGCTGGAGCCACACCAGTGGTCCTTGCAGGGGCAGCAGCTGTCTCCTGGTCTCAGGCTCACAGCTGTGGGGATGTGACCTTAAACCTAAAGCCTAGCAGTGGTCCTGACGTTCATTTGTCTAGGACCTCTGATCACTCTGTAAGTCACTATTTCCCTTATTAAATCTCTTTCTGCTGGATCCTTTGGGTGTTTCTGCTTTCTACACAGAATGCTGATTGATATATAGGACACAGCTGGGACAGGTGGATGCTGGGCTGAACAAAGGAGGAGCCTGGGCCTGATTCAGAGGCCAAGGAAGACTCTGCCCCTGGTGTCTGTGATGAGGATGTGATGTGGTTGAGAAAAACTGCCAGCTTCAGGGGCAGAGGCTCTCAGGATAGGCAGGGACAGACCATCAGCTGGGCTTCAGTGACCCGCTGTGTATGCTGGAGGGGAGCATTGCAGAAATCCCAGCAGGTCCTTTCAAAGGTGACCTAGAACTGCCCCTGTTCAGAAACCAAGGGCTGCTCCCCTGCAGAGAGTTGATGAAGGAGATGGGTAAACAAATCCAGGCCACCGCTCACCCAGAGCCTGGGGTCCAGCTGGGTCAGCCTGTGGGGCCAATTCTAGTACATCCAGGGGAGGCCAGATGAGCAGTCCCTTTAAAGGAGGCCAGCTGGAAAAGTGCAGAGTGTCAAGAATTTCCTGGGGAAAGTGCCCAGGCTGCCTTGGCCCTGTGGGGTGCATCTCCACCATCGCCCAGCCCCCAGAGCAGTTCACCCTGAAAAGAGGAGATGCTGCAGCAACCCAGAGGGGCTCCAAGAGGAGGGTCCAGGCCTTGGTCCTGGCACGCCTGCCCAGCTGAGCCCTGCACCCAAGAGAAAGGAGAGGCTGAGGCTGCTGCAAAGGTGCCAAGTTCCTGCTGGACCTACATCTGAGCACCACACATTCCCCCTACAGAAAGATTAAAATAAAAGAGACTATCTGCAGCTCAGCGACTGGGGGTAATGGAATTAGGCGTGATCTGTGCTGTACCTGGCTCTTAGCTCCTGACTGCATGTGACTGGCAGAGGCATCATTTGCTGAGTATCGCTGCGTGCCCAGTGACATACAGGCACTACCCCATTTAATCTTAAGAGGAATTATCATCATCCCACTGGTCTAAATGAGGAAACAAACTCAGAGAGGTTGAGGAACTTGGGACAATCACAGAGCTAGTTAGTGGAGGAGCTGGGATTTGAACTCAGTCTGCCTAGTTTGGAACCACAGGTCCAACCACGGAGTGTACTGCCAAAAGAAGCAGGGTGCCTTCTGGGTCCCCTCCTGCAGAGTCTGGGAGCCCAAGTCAGCACCACCTCTGACCTTCCTTCAGCCTCCCACCCACTCTCCCTCCCCAGCTTCCTCTCCAGCCACCCTTCTGACCTGCGCCTCGCTGATGAGGAGTTAATGTAGAAACAGAGGGCTTCGCTCTTCTCTTCTGGCCTGGCTTGATGGGTGCTGGGCATTTTTTAATCCTTCTTTCCTTTATTTCAGTTTAAGCTGGTAATTGTCATGCTGCTCCCATATCATCCACTGACATTTAAGTCCCAGCTCTTTCTAAATAAGGAGCGGATTGGCCTCAGCTTGCGCCATGGGGAGAGAGAGTGTCAGGCATTCCTGGCAGTGTGAGAGGCACCGTCCCTGGCTCTTGGACTTCCTTGAATCAAGGAGGAGAGGAAAGGCTCCTAGCTGTGGCATTTCTCACAGGTTTTAGAGACTCAGAGCCGCCCTGGAATGATCTGAAGGGGAAGTGTGGCTACTCTGGTCCTGATTAACTCTCAGCTTAGAATTTCACCCTTCCAGCCCACTTTTGTCTTGGAGGTTGCAAACTGGGACCCATAACCAAATGTTTTGTTTTGCCAACGTACTGTTTAACAATTTCGAATACACTGTTCTCGAATTCTCTCCAGTCCTCATCACTCCCTATGGTTCTAGCTTGCTAACTTGCGAATAGTGCCATCTCCAAACTTCTTTCTTATACATGCAAGTAGCCTGGGAAAGGTAGAACTTAGGAATCACACCTCGTGGGAATTAATTTATTTACAGCCACCCTCACAAGACTCCCGTTGACTGAGGCTCTTGGGGGTTGGGGGTGGGCGGTGGTCATTTTGGACTATAGCAGGGCAGCAGGAAGGGGAGGTGAGACCTAGGCGAGGAGAGGTGGGAGATTCTTGGCTAAGGTCACCAGTTTTCCAGGCTGGCTTCCAGGGGATGGCTGCCAGTCACCACGTTTTAAGCATCCATCATAAGCCCAGAATTGTACTGGATGCTTTGGAGACATCATCTAAACCCATTCTCTGAGGTGGGGCTGTTATCCTGAATAAGAAAAACAAACTTTATTTCTCTACACCAACTACATCAATACTTTTGACCACCAACTGTGTAGGGAGTGTTTTTCCCCACACCAAGTAATTCTCTAATTTTCAGTGAACAGTGATTTGGTGTCCTGCAATTTAACTCCATTCTGACGCTAACTTCCTAGAGTTAGTGCAGACTTCACAGCTTAAAAGATTCTGTCCCACAAGACTGCCCCCACTCCAGACTCCAATCACAAGTCCAGGCTGCCATCTGTGCTTCTGACCAACTGGCTATAAATCAGAGGTTCCTAAGACCCTCTCCTCATGTTCAATTATTTGCTAGAACAGCTCGCAGAACTCAGGAAAGCAGCTTACTTACTTCACCACCAGTTTATTATAAAAGGACACCACTCAGGAACAGCCAGAGGAAGAGATGCACAGGGCAAGGTATGTGGGTGGTGTGGGGCACACATGCTCCCAGCACCTCGATGTGGTGTTTTGCTCCATTATGTGGGCATGATTGATCACCTCATTGGCCATTGATGATTAAATCAATCTCCAGCCCCTCTCCCCTTCTGCGAAGTGAGGCTGAATGTTTCAACCTTCTGATCATGTGGTTGGTTCCCCTGGCAACCAATCCCCCAATCTCCAGGCTATCCAGGAGCCCCCAGGCACCAGTCATTTCATTAGCATACACAAAGACTTATCACTTCTGGAGATCCCACAGGTTTTAGGAGCTGCATGCCAAGAAACTAGGAATAAGACATATATATATATATATATATCTACTATATCTCAATATCATATATCTTCACATCACAGATGGGAAAACTGAGGCTCATAGAAGTGCAGTCTCTTGCCCAAGTCCTCACAGTGGACGAGAGGCCACAGGGGTCTTGCAGATACCCAGAGTCACTATGCAGCATTGCGGTCATGTGTTATCTTTGTATGGCATCGTCTCTTTCACTAATTTATCAAATGTAGATTTATTGAATGTCGGCTGCTTGCCAGGATGCAGGCTGGATAGAGACCCTGCCCCGATCCATTCCCTGGCTGGCAAGAGAAGCAAGACAAGCAAGCAGGAAACTTTCATCCCGAAAAGGGGGATGCTGGAGTACCCACCACCACCACCACCACCAAAAACCACCACCACCATTTCCTGAGGGCTTGCCATGCACCAGGCTGTCAGGAGGCTTTGCAGGTACTAACCCTCTTGACAGCCCGACCAAGTAGGCACTGTCACGGTTCTCCATTGTAGACAGGCACTAAATGGGTCTCAGAGAGGTTAAGTAATATGTCCAGTGCTAGACAGTTTCTGCCTAATAGGGAGGAATGAAGTGCTACAGGAGCATGAGAGACAGAGCGGCTGCCTAGAGAATCCCACTCACTGCTTACAGCAAGCCCACGGGTGACATGCATTACCTGGGACCAGGAGCAGGTAAGTGACTTGCCCAAGGCCCCTCAGCTAGTAGAGAGAGAGCATCTACTAATAGATGCTCTATTTTTGAGACTTTGTTCATCCCTTTACCTGTGTTGCCCTGGAAAGACTCGCTAGCTGAGAGAGAGGAGGTGAAGTGAAAGGCTTTAAAAAGGAGGCACCTTACAAATTCTCAGCTCTGCTCTCATAACTTGGTTTATGAAGCCCTGGGCTGCTGACTCCAGTGGGTTGAAGAGGGCTTTGCCGGCAGCCTCTGTCCCAGTTTGAGATGTGTGCACTGTCTCCGACTGACACCGCCTAAGCCTCTCAATCCCCAAGAGTGATTCCGTCTCATGGATGAGAGCCTCCAACATCTGTACCTGTCGGGTGACAAATCCAGACACACACTCCCCGTCTGGTTAGAGATGCATCAGGCCCGATTAGGCTCATGAACCTGCCTGCTGCATGTGGATCCCTTTAGCCAAAAGCCACAAAGATAAATGGAACTCAGGTGTCATTCTCACCAGGAGGTTGCCTGGGCATGTATGGGGAAGGATCTAGAGTAGGGGGCTATGGGTGGTGGTGTGGGGGAGATGGACCCCACCTCTGTGATGCTGGGGTGGAATGAATGACTGACAGCCCAGCCCGGGGCCAAGGCAAGGGGGTTGCCTTACCCTCAAACCCCCATTCCCTACCAGGTGCTTGATATTTCAGCACGAGTATTTTTCACCTCTAGAGATCCAGTAGGGAGTGTTCTTGTCTTTATGGCCTTGGCAGGATGGGAACACAGGCAGTGGGTGAACAGAAATACCCTCCGTGAGCAGGTTGGTTGGAACATCTGCACAGCCAGGCTGCCCTGCCTCGCACCTTCAGATCCGATTTCATTTCCTCACTTTGCATCCCTTTTTAATCAGCAGACACACCTGGAAAGGGGTGTTCCTGCTGTCCCCCCAGCTTTGTTAGCCCTCCTCCAGCAGTTCTGCACAGTTCCCTGGCAGAAGGTGGGCTGCAGGTGGGAAAATGCCAAGGGTATATCTCACCTGCTTACCAATGGGGCTCTGCTGTGCCTGGATTCAGCCACCTCATCCTCAATGCCTGCCTCACCCTGCCTGGATACATGAGCCCCCAGTTCCCCCCAGGGAGACAACATGCCCTCCATGGTAGCTGCCAATGATATAGACATCTCCACATCCACCACCGTCAGTGCAGTCCTACAGGCAGGTGCCCCTCACTGCCTAGAGAACACCAGCAAGCTTTCTGGCCACCCACGTCTCTTGGACACCACTCCCCTGTTGGAGAATTTCCCACTCTGAGTCCTGCCTCTTGGAGTGAGAAACCAGAGACTCATCTTTCCCAGTGTCTCTTGTAGCTATGATAAGGGCATGGACATGGACTCTGCCAATGGGACCCATCAGTAGAGGCTTCAGCCTGAGACAGGCAAGCAGT